AAGCGATACATTGTTGTCAGCGCCCTCGACGTCCGCGACCGCGAGAACAAGCCCGTCCCGGATTGGTACACAGAAGCCGATGAGAAGCTTAGTGACCGTATGTGGGGCATCATTGGTCCCATTCTCCGAGCTAAGCTCGCGGCCGACACGGAGTTGAGGGTCGGAAATGCGACTCGCGGACTCGACTACACGATCGTGAGGCCGGGTGGTCTTGGAGAAGGTCCCAGCGAGGGCGTCATCCGAGCCGGAAAGGTGGGAACAGTCGGCATCATTCCACGCGAAGACGTTGCAAAGGTGATCTACGCGTCCATCCAGAACAGCAAGACTCACGGACTCGCATTCGATATCTTGGGGCCCGGTGACGGAAGCCTGCCAATCAAGCAAGCCGTTGCAAAAGTAGCAAAGGATCATGAGGATACCTTTGAGGGCTATTATTAGGCCAAGCGAGTGTGTATTTATGTACATATACTGTCACTATGATTGCTGCAGCGAGTCCCAATATGAGAGCGAAAACAGATGGCTGTAATGAAATCCTCCTCGGATGGTCATGTTGAACTCTTCGAGTCTACTTCTAGACCTCATTGTCGCCTGGCTTTCGCCCGTAGATTGACCATCTACGCGAGGTCAATAAAAGTAGCATTATGCGCATAGAGAAGACACTTACACGGTAGTATAGGCGTGTATGTTCCTGTCTCTCATGTCATTGCGAACCTGGACTCCAAAAACGGTCACCTCTTCTTTGGTCCAATTGTGAGCCCTTGTGAGCGGTGCCATCATGAAGCTCTCGAGTCCAGCTGAGAAGTTATCGTGGTTCCAGAAGCCAAGTTCTTTGTGCTTCCGGTCCTTGGCCCACGCATTTGAAGGCCACTTGAACATCTGAGCGTAGACATCTTTGAAGCCTGTCTCAATCATGACATCCTTCAGAACTCTGATATCCTGGAAGGGTCTTCCAAACATGGCTGCAGCCTCTCCCCATAGACAGATGAACTTGATGAGAGCAGAATCATCCTTCAAAGTTCCATCATCGGACTTCGGCCATAGGTCAATTTCGTTCAATTCGAGGTAGCCATTCGGGTTCAGGTTACTATGGTCGGAGGTCAGGGAAAAGTTCAAAACCAGAAGAAGAGAAGTTCGGCAACAAACTCGTAGCATTTCTTGATGTATTCCTTCCAATCCGCCACACTGGATGTCATGGCACGACTGTGGATATAGTCAAAGGGCCGAGAATAAGTCCAAGGTTCCTCGATATCGTCAATCTCGAACTTGACGTTGGTGTATGTACTGCAATGGAGTTAGTGAGCATGAAACACAACAAATGGCTTCCGCGGATAGTAAACGCTCGTACAACTGCGGTTGGATTGCTGATAGGTCAACGCCCAAAACCTGCCGTGAACGAAATGTCAGTAAGATACCCAACGCTGCTTGAGACATTGAGTAACCTCGGCATCCGGATGTTCCTCCCCAAATTCCATTGCCCAAATGCCAGTACCTGTGCCGACATCAAGAACTCTGCCGACCTTGGACTCTGGATCGTTCGGGGGTGCAGTTCCCAGACGGTTGTCGAAGGTGAGGAGCCACATGTTGTGCTGAATGTCTTCTCAAGAATTAGCTGGAACTACTCACACATTTGTTATTCTTTTGGGATACTGACCAAGACGTTCATTCTCCCTTTCGTCGTTTGGAAGATAGTATTCTAAAATCGTTAGACACTTTGACCTTGGCAATATCTCCTTCGATCCCAGGTTTAGCCCGACTTACTGCCATCTTTGTACTTGTGATAAGTTCTACCATTCTCTATGCGATATCCAAGAACAGAGTCTGTCACGCTGGTGCTTGAGGAAGCAACACTCTAGATTTCATGGAGTCAGATCAGCAGATTATTTACAGCAGAGGCCAGATGCAGAATTTGAAAACGAGATTGCACTGACCTCTCCTCGAGCCGACTCGTCATCTGACACCTACGACAGAGGTTAAATCGGATACGGCCTCCGTCAAAAACAATTCATGTTCTCAACCTACGTCTTGGGCAACAAGTATGGCCGGATTGTTGTCTGCGGCGTTCGTGTCCGCGATAGAAGCATTCGGAACAATTCCGGCCCCATCCGCAGTTTCATTGATCTCCGACATGTTTCCGCCCTCAATGGTTTCACCAATTCAATTGTGTTCAGGGGCTTGAGAAAATGTGTTGGATCGAATTTGTCACCACACAAACGGCTGGGTTGATCGCCGCCTCTTTAAAAGCTCCGAAGACCCTGAAAAGCCCATGTATTTACCCCTCTCCTTGGCTCGAGGTTTAATGCAGGTTTCCGGTCAACGTACGATTCAGGAAGAGGAGCGTGGAGTATACTCCCAGAAAGTGATATGCCCCGACGTATCAGAGCAGGTTGTTTGTCTAATATGCAGGGGAACCAACAGGCGAACTTCCAACGGAACACTATTTTGGGCGCCTTGAGTCGCGTGGATGTCGGCACTCGGAATTAGGGATGGTGAAAGGATAAGAATGATGTAAATTTATAGAGATACGCTCACCCTCAATTTGCTGAGCCTCGCACGATTGTGATACTTCAAAATACTCCCAAGGCGAAATGCTGTACCTATCCCGCAGATAGTCCACCAGTCCCTTTGTTTTGTGCACCACTTTGTTTGGAGTGCCAGAAGCGTCGCAAACTCGGAATTTCCTTATAATCACAACACTGGATCTACATTGACTGCTGATATCATGTAACTACAGAGGATGAGCACTATCCCGTTGACCATAACCCTGCCTGGTTTCATACGTTGCCCTTTACCAACAATAGCTAGTTCGCCAATGAATCCAGCCAACAACGTTAGTTGTAGCTCACATGGACGTGGTCCCTTGAGAATTGTCAGCTTATGTCTAATCTTGAGGGAGACTTGAATCAGGACTCACCAGTGGTTCGCGGTAACACCGCCGCGATCCTCCATCCCCCTCCAGTCCGACCAAGACTTGACAGAGTCCACAGAAGGATTCCAGATACGCTGTCCCCAGATGACATACTTCAAGTCAAGTGTCGCACGATTGTTCATGACCCATTCGGCAATCTCCTTACCGGAGGTGGTGGGAGTCTGTCATTTGGTCAACATCGTCCAATAGGGCCACAACAATACCACTTACACCGCCAGCGTCAGAACACATCATGTCCGTCGCCTTGCCACAGCAGTGATCAGAGTCGCCAGGACAAGTACAGTCTCGCGTGCAAAAGATCTCCCGAACCCTCTTCGGGAACGCCGCCACAATCTTCTTGGCGCCGTTGACGGCGACCGACTTGCAAGCGCCCACAGTCAGGGTATTCGGGGCGCCATAGCCGCCGAAGCCGGAGGCAGATGAGTCGCAGCACTTGAAGGTGCTGGGACCCGGGCACTGATTGGCGACAGAGGTGCCTGCGCAGTCGCTCGTGAAGCGACAGTTGCCGCCGCTGCCGCAGGATGCTTTGGTGCAGCATTTGACGTTGTCCGGGTCTTTGGGGCAGGCGCCGTTGATTGTGGTGCCGCCGCTGGATGAGCAGCTGCTAGTGGTTACGCAGACACCTGACATTCTTGTCAGTGAAAGTGTGAGTGTGATTTCAGAGATGGAACGAACCGGCTCTGCCTCCTGAACCGTAGCATGGCTCGTTCACGGCGGCGAATACTGCCGGTACCGACACCGCGGCGATAAGAAAATATTGCAGCTGCATGTTTGGTAGTTGTTCGGCGATGAGTTTCTAATGTGTTACTGAGGTTGATGATGCTCAAGATAAACATCTAGTTGAGCGTACAAGATAGCAGTATTTATAATCTTTTGGGGTCATTGAGTCGGGTCAGCAACTCAGATCAAGCGCAGGAGTTCCTCCGTATAACCACGAGGTAGCCGAAGTAAGCGTCCAAAGTCGACTCCCTTGGGTTGCATTGCATATGCTCTGGTTCTTGGCTCGCGTCATTGCAGTTCAGCTAAGGCTATTCTGAAGACTATCATGACTCTAGACCGAGTTGAAACTGACTTGGACGAGGTAATAATACTCTCCAGGGTTTAAGAAAGCCACTTACTCTAGAAGAATCAGCCACTCCCGCTGCCAGAATGGAGGATAAGCAGCGGGATGAACCTAGTTCACATACTCAGAAACTAGTGTAAGACAGTGACAGGATTTCTCCGGCCTACTGTAAGACAGGAATGACGAGAAGTGACAGAAATGGGCGCGATCTCCCCTGTCAAAGGTGATAGATCGACCATTTAGTCTACCGAAGTTGCCTGATAGTGGTATTGGTGGCTGCTTGTTGTTAAGGACGAATGTCATCAATTATTACTGCATATTGCGGTAATACGTTTGGGCTGTTTTCCTAATCATCAGTTGTCACATCAGAATCACTGCGTCGATAAATCGGAAAGTACCCCAGCTTCCCGTGGTCTCGTAATCGCCGTCTTGTATAATCTGGGGGAACATTTGTTTAGACATCAGAGCTTTTCAAGCTTTCCTACCCCTTGCAGATCATGCAAGTCTTGAAGCTTGAAGAATGGCGTCATTTGACGATTAACCGCCGAAGCAAACTTGGATTTTCCAAGACACAACTGAACCCACGTTTCCCCTCGTGGCCGTTCTCCAAAAGCTGAGCCCTGGACAAGGGTTGTCCCGCCTACTATTTGGGGAAAGGTCAGCTCGCTAGTAATACGGCAAGATGTCCTCCCGCTCTTCGCACCTTAGCTGTGAAGATCGTTCAGCTCACCAGGGACAGTCCGTAGAAAGTGACGTTACAATCATACACAACTCCCGTTCTTTACTTATTTAAATCCCTGGAATGACTGCAGGTAAGCCTTATGCGACGATCCGGGGAGTTCAGCCTCGGTGTGAAATCCCTGATGACCCCGCAGCTGAAAGACATGCGGCCACCATCACAGCGGCTAGACTCGACGCCACAAATCCTAGACAATATTTCTAGGCTACACCACATCCGTAGGGTCGTTTGATTCATCTTCAATCCCAAAGCTACTGTATTTCAATCAGAATGGGCGATTGGTTCAGGGGGATAACGACCGCTTCGCATGCGGTAGGTCCTAGGGTCGATTCCTAGATTGTCCATCCTTTTGCCGGGCATTACCTATAAGACTTAAGTGGCTACTTTCAGAGTTGTTCTGAGCTGGTCATGTGGCCTAGATTGGCTGGATGTGTGTTGGTAGGCATGCTGTCTATTGCTTTTCTATGCTGTTTAGGCTTTAGCTAATCATTTTAATGCGCCCCTCTAACACCGGTGCTATAACCCGTGTCCAGTCTACGGTGAACTCGCCCTCGCGCAAGGGATCGCACACTTCAGCCTTCACGCCTGCCGCCTTCGCCCATTTAGCGAAGAACTTGCGCATAATAAGCATCTCCATGTCGACCTGCGCGACGGTATCCGCCTCATCCTCCGTATCGGACTCGTCTGATTCGTCTTTGGGGAGCTTGGTGTTGAGAGCGTGCCTCTTGACCATCCATTCAGCCCAGGACTTGGAATGAACCTCGGGCTTGGGGTCTGAGGTGCCTGTCGCGGCGGGAGTCTCCCACATCTTGCGCGGCTCGACGGGGGTGTGGCACTTTTCGGCTACCTGAACCCAGTGCTCACTGAGATTCTTCCACTGGCCGACAGTGCGCAGACTCATGAAGTATTGGCGAAGCATGGCTGAAATGAGGATACCATTCTCCTCACAGACGATCTCCTCGGCCGTGCCGCCTTCCGGCTCGACAAGAAGACTGGTGTAACCATCTGTCATCATTAGCCACGCGCTATGAATTTCTTAGGCAACGAACGTACCCTTTCCTCGACCCATATAACCACGAGTGGCGAGGGTGTACTTCGTGTCCATCTGCATGGGCCCTCCACCCAAGGTGGCTTCGACGATGCGCGAGCCAGGTTCCTTGCTGGGGTCGAACGTATACGTAATGTTGGATACCTGTGGGAAACGGCCTAACTTGTCAGGATATTTAATTTGCAATGTGCCAGAAAGTAGACTCACCCTCCTGTGCCGGATACTGCGAGACGCCATTCTCCAAGGCATCCCATATTTGCTGGCCGGTCACCCTGATGAAGATGACGGGATCTTCAAAGGGGAAGCAATTGGTGATATCCCTGACTCTGATTACGCCGGGCGGGTAAATCTGGTCACCTCGTATGGTGCCAGCTGCCATGAGAGCACAGTCAGCGTTGTGGTAGTGTCTCATTACGTCGCAGACAAAATTGCCCATGTTGCTCTCCTTCATTCGGACCGTCGTGAAGCGTGCATCCAGGGGAGAAGCTGTCCAGCCAACCGACTTGGCCAAGCTGTGTTTGAGCTTTGATGTCAACTCCTCAGTGAGCTTCAAAGTCTCCTGGTCCTCTGCAATGGAAGAGACAATGTCCCGGCGTTCAATGTCAAAGTCCCATTTTCCTGAATCATCCGCCCTCTTCCGGACTTCTACGTAGCTGAGTTGCTTGAAATCGGAACCTGACCGCAGAACATGAGTACCGTTGATGAAGCTGTGCGCATAATAGTGATCATGGCCGCCGAGGATGATGTCGATGAGGCCGTCAGTTTTCTCGGCGAGCTTGTTGTCGTTCGGCTCACGCTGGTGGCTGAGACAGATGATTATGTCGGCACCCTGTGCGCGGAGTTGGGGAACGAGCTCCTTGGCTGTCTCGCTGGCGGATTTGTAGATGATGTCCGGAGGCAAACTGTTGATTGTTTCAAGCCATTCCCTCTCGCCGAGGCCAATGAGACCCATCTTGATGCCATTGGAGGATGTGAGCATATGAGTGTGCTTGGCATTTCCGAGGGGTACATTTTCGCCAAGAGCTGGGTCTAGGACGTTGGCGAGAAGCCAGGGGAAGTTGCACTTGGCGGTCAAGTGCTCGAACTGCTTGACTCCGAAGTCGAAGTCATGATTCTGGTGGCGTTAATAAAATGGCACGGCCAATTGAGGTAGAACGGGCTCACTTACACCAACACAGGTGCAGTCGACGCCAATCTTGTTGAGAACGGGCACCATGTGCTCACCTATTAGGGTCCGCGTCAGCACAGCATCATGACAGAGGGCACGTGAGGGATTACCTTTTGTGACGGAGCTCTCGAGACTGGGGTTGAAGACGTCTCCCGAGAATAGAGTGATTAGCTCGGGCTGGCCATTGAATCGCTCGTGACTGCGGTACTCGTTGACGGCAGTGATGAAGCGAGGGACACCGCCAACGGGCTCAGCACTGGAGGGTTCCAAGTGGTAGACATCATTGAGGTGGAGAATACGCAAGGCAACGGGTGCGTCGGAACCAGAGCTGAAGGTAACGGCAGGCTCATCAGGAGCCGGCGCGTTCTTTGGCATGGTGGTGGTGGTGGTCTAAGGTCAGAATAAAAATAGAGATGCAGTCCAAAAGGGCGGTGATGGATCAGGTAAGGCGAGGTGAAGGTGAAGGTGGCATGTGCCCCTGAGTTTACCACAGTACTTGGAGCTGAGGTAAGGTTAAGGTAGGTAAGGTAGGTACCTCCAACTAAGGTAGGTACCTTCCACCTGGAAGCGGGGGCGGGGCAGTGAAGGGCAGGGCTCCCGCCTGAGTGACACGAAGCACAAGGACACTGGACGAACGCGCTGCGCAACGGCGATGACGATGATGCTCTTCAGGGGATGATTCGCTGAAGCATCCCGGATCGTCCACTGAACTTGGCCCTCGACGAAGCTGCGGCAGTGCAGCAGCCAATCAGAAGGCCAAGATTGCCAATTGACGGCAGAAACACGTGACGATTTGCTCGCTTAAGGCAAGTTGTGGGTCGAGGAGTGGGTTCATTGCTATTTCTGGCTTGACCACATCTGATAACGATAAGATAAGCAACATCGCGTTAAGGCTTTAAGCGAGCGAACGATGGCGATCGTCCGTCCATCCACCGTCCCGTGTGCCGTCTAGACCTTCCTTCCCATCTTCCGTCTTCCGTCTTGGGTCTTGGGACGAACCTTTTTCCAACGTCACTTACCTTACCTGCCTCTCTTCTGCTCCTCTGGTGCTACGACGTGAAGACCGTCCGATCCGGCGATAGACATATCGCAAATTTGCACCGCCACACCAAGCGGCTTGGCTGGCCTGATTTCCTGCCAGTAATGTCTTCGTTTCGAGAAACCAATTCCTGATTCACGCCAAGGCTTTCTTCTTTTCACTCAAGGGCACCAAGATGCTAGTGCCAATGTCATTTCTCATTCAACTGTTGGTCCAGAACCCCAGAACCCCTTCCTCGCTTACACTAACACATCTAGCTTTCTACCTGCGGTCTTGGCTCATACCATCTTCACTGCAATCAATCCGTGACTCGGAACTCAAACCCATGCCGACGCTGCAGGCTGCTTCGCCTGCGCCGTCGACGAGGGCTTCTTGGACCCCAACATCCGTCCCACGACAATCATTCGCATAACGCACTCGGCACTCTCCCGCGTCAGTTTCTCCGCCTCCACAATGGCCTCGTCCAGCGTGGTTGGTCGTTGCAGGATACACGTGTAAGCATCGATTCCGACGTCGTAGTTGACCCGAGCCCCTGGTCCGATGGTCCCAGCAATAGCAACCACCGGCAGGCCATGCTTCTTCGCCCGCGTCCCAATCTCACCCGGAATTTTCCCCCTCGGTGTCTGGTCATCGATGCCTCCTTCGGCCGTGAGAACCAGGTCACAGTCCGTAAAAAGCCCTTCAAAGTCGACATACTCCGCCACCACCTCATATCTTGGCCGAAGCTTGGCGCCCACCAGCCGCAAACCGGTGCCCAACCCTCCAGATGCTCCTCCGCCGGGCGAGGTGCCCACATTGCTGTCGCAGAGAAGCCGTCCAGCAACCACAGAAAGGACCTCCATAGCTGCTGAAAGGCGTTCTGTCTGCTCAGCACTCGACCCCTTCTGCTTGCCAAAAACCCTAGCAACACCATCGGGACCACTAAGAACATTGTTCCAGTTGACCGCGACCTCAATGTCGACATCTTTGATGCGCTTGTCGATTCCGCCAAGATCGATGTTTGCCAAACGCAGCAGGCTCTCCCCCCCTGCGGCGATAGGGAGTGTAAGCCCATCTTGATCTATCAGTCGAGCGCCAAGAGCCTGGAGCATTCCCGCGCCCCCGTCACAAGTGCCAGAGTCGCCGCAGCCAACGATGATCTTCTTCGCGCCAGCTCCGGCTGCAGCTGTCAGAAGCTCGCCCACTCCAAACGTGGTGGTAACGCCGGGGTTGCGAAGATGGGTTGGGACAAGACTCAAGCCGGCCGCAGCAGCCATTTCGATGACAGCTGTCTTTGGCTCATTGGGGCTTTTGCTTCCCAATATGCCAAAGAAAGACGCAATCGGAGCGCCAACGGGGCCGGTGAGAACGACTGGATGCAATGTGCCACCAGTCGCAGACACAAGGGCACTAGTGAACCCCTCGCCTCCGTCAACCAGGGGAACCTTGCGCACAGAGGCATCTGGCATTACAGAGAGAATGCCAGCCTCGATGCAATCAGCGGCAACTTCTGGCTGAAGGCTTCCCTTGAAACCGGACGGGCAGACGAGAATTCTCATTCCCTGGGGCGTCGAAGAATCCATGTGGATGTGTTTGGTAGGTTGTGATGTTAAACGATGGTAATAAGTGTTCGTGTTATTTCAACTTGAACACGATGAAGCGAATGTTGAGAAGCGAGTGAAATATGTATTGGGTAAGTGTTATGGCGAACGAAGACTTGTATGACCTGGTTTGTCGAAATAATGGTCTGTCCTTACCAGCCTTCTTATACTGCCTTGGAACAGAAACCCTAGATCAAATGGTGCTGGTCAACGCGCCCTCTCTATGTCCATCCTCTGCATTTGCCGTGTGACGAACTCCCAAGCGTTGAGGCCTCATCCCCCGTCAAAAGAATCAAGAAACCCAATCTGCCGCGTCCAGCTGCCGCGGAGTGGCTATGAGATGCTTCGCCGGTTGCTATTTTGCAAGCAGACATTTGATCGCGTGATATTTCTCACGCGAGATGTTCAGGGAAGGTGATGTCTTCAGCCCTGCACGTGTCCGTTGCCTCGATGGGCTGCCGACTGAACCGTTCCTGAGCTGTCAACAGCATCATGGTGTAACATCGTCT